CCCCCCCCCCAGGTCTGGGGGCCCATCTGCTGGCCCCTTGCCAGCCGGCGTCCCGGACGCAGGCCCCGCTCAGCCCGCTGCTGGCCTAGGTGAACAGAACCCCAGGCTGGCAGTGGGCTGACCAGGCTGGCGGCATAAGATCAGCATTTTAATTTAATTTTAAATTAAGCTTCTTAAACATTTTGAAAACCTTGTTTACTTTACATACAATAGTTTAGTTATATAATATAGACTTATAGAGCGAGACCTTCTAAAAAACGTTAAAATGTACTACCGGCACGCGAAACCTTAAATTAAAGTGAATAAATGAAGACTCGGCACACCACTTCTGAAAGGTTGCCTACCCCTGGTCTATGGCCATGCTTGGTAGTAAGGGCTTGAAGTGGGTAGCAATGTGCACACTGGAAGAACAGACTTTAGAACTTATGGCCTCCTGGCTCCCAGCCCAGGGCCTTTTCCCCTAAGACAGTGGTTTTCCACCTGAGGTCCACAGACCCCTGCAGGTCCACAGACTATGTCTAAGATTTCCAAAGCACCTCCATTCAAAATTTCTTAGGGGTCCAGAAATGAAAAAAAGGTTGAAAACCACTGCACTAAGTCAAAGGGCACTTTGAGGGAAAGTCTCAGTCTCTCTCTGTAGAACATCACCCGGCCGGGTGGTGCTGCAGGATGGGTCAGAGGCCTGCCTATAATGATATGCTTTAGCACTAGATGTCTCTATGCTGTATTAAAAGTTCCAGAAAGGGGAGTGGTCATGGGTGGTGCGTGAACCACTGGCTGGGGGAGGCTAGCCCCCAGCCCCGCCCCTTCCGCCCGCTCCTCCCACTGTGGTCACTGGACCTTGCCCCAGGTTAGCACCCCCAGTCCTGGAGCACTGGGAGGGAACGCAGGCAGGGTGGCCCTACCAGCCCCTGGAGCCAGGCCACAGAGCGGAAGCGGAAGCAGGAGCCCTGGGGGCGGAGCATGGGTGGGACCACGCCTGGCTGTTTGGGGAGGCATAGCCTCCCCAGCCTATGGTACCCGCTGCCCAAGGGAGTGGTCTCTCGGCGAGACTAGAGATGAAAGTGGCTTGTTTTGTCTAGGGCTTCTTGTTCTCTCTATGTGGCCGCTAGTTAAGAACAACAATAGGAAGTCCCCTCTTCTCGCCTCAGAAAGGGGTCCTGAAGAATAATTAGGCAGCAGATCTCTGTCTAGTGAAGGCATTTCTAACTGTCAAGGTGTGCCATTCAGGCTAGCAATAATGCAAGCTCCAAGCACGTTGTGACCAAGGGCCTGAATTTGGAAAGTGCCAGTGGCAGTAAAATCACAGCTCTCTCTTTCTCTCTCTCAATTTCCTAGGAAGTATCCAGAAACCTCACCAGAAAGAACATGGATGCAACAGGGAACGTGGATGCAATTTGGAGTGAGCCAAACACAAGGGACAAGGAAAACTGTTCCAGCAGTATCTCCAACAGCCTCCCTGACATCCGGAGCTCCCTGCAGAGGGATGCTGCAGCTGTGTACACCCACATTGAGGTAAGGCCAGCTGCCTTCTGGCTACACATGGAAGTCCCAGGAGCCCCGTTCCAGTTCAAGAGCACTCAGTGCCACTGGTGCAGGCAATGCTCAGCAGTAGGACTGGCGAAAGGTGTTGAGGGAGAAATGTACTAGAGCTGCAGGGTTAACTCTGAACATCAGGGTTGGAAGTTGGTGGACTTAGGCATCCTCACATGGCAATATGTGATGGGAGTTGCATCCCCTCGTTATTCTGGTGCCTGTAGGTGGCAGGACAGAACAGCTGCTTCCCCACGGAGCCCCCCTCCTCTGCCACCACACACCAGGCATGGCCTTGGCTGGGGCACATCTTGTCCAGGCTTGGGTTCCTTGACTTTTGCATCTCAAGCTCAGGCCTCTCCGTATGGTCAGCCCCCACTCTGCCATGCAGTGTCCCCCTTACAGGCAGGGAAGGAGTCACCAGCAGCTACACACTGCACTGTGGCTTTAGGCCCTAGGGAGAGGAGCAGGCTTGGTGGCTCTGGAGACTTACTGTCATAGAGCAAGACAGGTAGCACTGCAGGCTTCCCCTGCATGTGAGCCTGAGCTCTGACCCGAGGACAGCGGGGTTCCACTTCCATGACTCATTGCGTGCTCGACCTCTGCTCAGACTGAGTCCACTGGAGAGGAGCTGATGAGGCCTCATTGGCATACACATCTGATTTTACCATGAGCACCAAACAGCCTCCAGCTGGTACCTGCCGGTCTGAAGTGGGTTAGCATGGACAGGCTGGCAGGGGCTGGCTCCATCCCTCCCTTCTCTTCCCTGCAGAGCTGTTCTCCCACTCACCCTTGTCAGGACTAACTGGCACAGCTGCTCAGAGCTGTGGGATCAGACCTGTAAGGCACTCGGCAGTGCCATGGGCACCATGACTCGGAGGCATGCGCTGAAGGTGCTTCAGCTGCTAGGCCCAGTAAACACCCAGAGCCATGACTGAGGGGAGTGGGTATTTTACTAGGGCTGGCAGGAAAGGGAAGGGTTGAAAATACCCTGGGTTGAATAGCTTCAGCTGTTACAATTCAAGATAAAACAGTAGAATTCGTGGCTTGGCCCTGGGGACACCCAGCTGAGGGTTCAGGCCCTCTTGTGTCTGGGGTGCCCTCTCCAGTCTCGTCCTTTAGGATAGGCAATCAGGGAACTTGAAGATGCCTCCCCCAGGATCAGCCCATGGCATTTCTCGTCGGGGCCCCTCTAGTTACAACAGCACTTCCTGCACAGTTGGTGCTAGCGGCTGCTCCAGCCAGAGCAACCATTAGACTAGTAAGCCTGGTGTATAATTGAGATGGAATATATGGGCCAAAGGTGTTACTGCACACCAGTCCCTCTCCAGTGTTAAACCAGGTCTGGGTTGGGATACAGAGCCCTCAGCCTGCTCAGTGCCATGGCAAACACTCCACTACACAGCCTTTAAACCTCTTCTTACAGAGAAAGGACAGAAGTAGAACCAGGCAAAGCATTTGCAATGTAGAGTATTAAGTCAGGCTTTCATTGTAACAATTGGCCTTGTCCCTTTCCCTTTAGCTGGAGAGAGCTTTAGAAGGAAAAGCCCCTTGTTGGAGTGTCTCTTAGATGGGATCCAAGATGGTAGGAACTGTCCTTTTGGGGAAGAGAGAAGCAGTTAGCTGAGAGTGGCTGGCACTGCTATTACAGTCTGATCCCACTTAATCCAGGTGGCAGCTGGGATTCATCCACAGCTGGTGGAGGTGGTGATGTCATCTGGGTCCCTCTCTGGCCTGGTCGGGTCAGGACACCTCTCAGGATTAGCACAAAGAAGGGCCAGGCCCAGGAGATGGTGGGGGTGGCTGCCACAATGGTGAAGCTCGCTCCAGTAACCTCTCTCTGGTTTTTGCCCCAAAGGGAGTGGCGGGTGGAACAGCCCATCCCCTCGTTATTCTGTCCACCAATTAGGCCTAATATCAGACACACCAATTTTGGTGTTTTTAACAAGCATAACTTCTTCTGTCCTTGGCTTATATCAACATGGCCTTTTGCATCAGACTAATGCAGTCTCTCTGTCTGGTTCTCTTGCACCTGTTGTGGCAAATTGTCAGCACTACTATGATGGGTCCCATGCTTTCTCTGCTTGTGGGGGTGTTCAGGGCACCATTTCTCACCCCTGATCTGGGGTATTAACTGTCCCACTAGTATCCCAGAGAAGGGGAGTGGAGAGGGAGGGACCCAGGCCCCCCCTCTACTCCGGGTCCCAGTCCAGGGGCCCTAGGGATAACGGCTAACCACTTGAACTAGCGACTCCTTCCCCTGGGCTACTTCCCTCTCCGGCCCTTCAGCTTGTGGGGCTTCCTGCCCTCTCTCTGCTTGGGCAAGGTTTCTCCCAACCCTTTGTGTCTGTGGAGTCCCTCTGCTCTGTACAAGCTGGGTTTCCCTTTACCTAGGGTCTTGGTCTTCTGGCCCACCACAGCACTTTTCCAAACTCTCCTCTGCTTCCCTTCAAACTGCTCTCTGCTCCAGCACCAAACCACTCTGCTTCAACTCCTCCAACTGTCTGATTGAAGCAGGGTTTTTTTTATCAGGTGACTGGCTTCAGGTGCTCTATTTGCCTTAATTGGCTTCAGGTGCTTTAATTAAACTGTAGCAGCCTCTCTTCCCTCTACAGGGAATAAGGCTCTCATCATCCTGGGGCTTACATATCTCTCCTTTCTATCACTCTCCTACTGTCCTCTGGCCATGCTGTATCACACTATTTAGAACATTCTTTATTGAAAATAACTTGACCTACTTTCCATAGTAAATTCCTAAGCAGGCAAAAGTTATAGACCAATTGTCCCAAAAGGCCTGCAGTCATGCCTGGCTACATACCATTGATTCAGCCCCAGGCAAAGGAGACTGCCCCCTTGCTAGGCTGACCCCCAGAGCTTTATCTTCCTTCTGGATCCTGGGGTTCCAAGGCCAGCTGCTGGCTCTGTGTTGTGGAGAGTCCCCTGCAAGCCCCTCTCACTCAGCTCTCTGGCTGCAGGCCCTCTCGGCTCTGTCTCTGCTCTGCACACAGCAGCATCCTGCTGAAGGGCTGCAGTTTGCAGACTGCTCTGCACGCAGCTGCTCCCATCCCTACCTTGCTCTCAGCTCACCCTGCAGCCCCACAGAGAATCTCCAGCGTTGGCTTCCCACCCTCACCCGGCTCCCCACACAACCCCTCCAGCGCCGACTTCCCACCCCCACCCGGCTCCCTGCACAACCCCTCCAGTGCCGGCTTCCCACCCCCACCCGGCTCCCCGCACAACCCCTCCAGCTCTGGCTTTCTGCCCCTCCTTGCTCCCCACCCAACTCCTCCAGCACCTACATCCTGTTGCCTTCCTGCTCCCCACCCAACCCCTCCAGCACCTGTTTCCTGCCCCTCCCTGCTCCCCACACAACCCCTCCAGTGCCTGATTCCTGCCCCTCTCTGTACTGTATAATTTTTGGTGGTGCCTGTAACAATGCTGCCTTTGGTGGGACACTTCTGAGAGTGTCAATTCAGGACAAATTGCTCAGAGCAGGGCAGTTACAGCCCAAGGCTGGGGTTCCTTTGCACACCAAGGCAAACCAAACCAGCCAAACAGAGAAGACTTCGGTTTTACCCCACTGGCTAACCACAAGTCACACAAGCAGTTCCCTTAGACACTGCAGTTTCCCAGTATCACCACCAGTGACATTCATTATGGGGATGAATGGTTATGAAAATCAGTACCCCAGTAAAAGGAAAAAGGTTCTCCCGAACCCAAAGGACCAAGCCCTAGACCCAGGTCAATATACAAATCAGATCTTACTCACAAATCATGCTGTTGCCAATCCTTTAGAATCTAAAAACTAAAGGTTTATTCATAAAAGGAAAAAGATATAGATGAGAGCTAGAATTGGTTAAATGGAATCAATTACATAGAGTAATGGCAAAGTTCTTGGTTCAGGCTTGTAACAGTGATGGAATAAATTGCAGGCTCAAATCAAGTCTCTGGAGTACATCCACAGCTGGGATGGGTCATTCAGTCCTTTGTTCAGAGCTTCAGCTTGTAGCAAAGTCCCTCCAGAGGCAAGAAGCAGGATTGAAGACCAGATGGAGGAGCTGCAGCAGCCTTTTATAGTCTCTTGCCATGTGGCCTTTCTTTCTTTGTTCCAAAGACAAGCTATCCAGCACATGACATGAAAAAACCTCAGAGTTCTGGCCATAGGCATGTCCCTGCATGACTTGCTGAGTCACAAGGTGTATTTGCCTTCTCTCACAGGGTCAGTTGTATAGCTGATGGTCCTTAATGGGCCATCAAGCAGGCTAGGCATTGCTGACACCAAATTGTCTGGGGTGTCACCTAGAAGCACAGCATAAGTTTGAAATACAGACAGTATAGAGCCAATGCTTATAACTTTAAATACAAAAATGATACATGCATTCAGATAGCATAATCATAACCAGCAAACCATAACCTTAGACACCTTATTTGACCCCCTTTATACAAGATTTGGTGTCACTACAGACCTTGGTTGCAACAATGATCACAGTTGCCTAAGACTCTTGGAGGGAGTTTGGGTACTGGGTGCGGGCTCTGGGCTGGGGCAGAGGGTTGGGGTGCAAGAGCGAGTGCAGGGTGCAGGCTCTGGGAGGGAGTTTGGGTGAGGGAGGTGGTTTGGGGTGCGGGCTCTGGGCTGGGGCAGGGGGTTGGGGTATGGGAGGTGGTGAGGGGTTCCAGCTCTGGGAGGGAGTTTGGGTGTGCGAGGGGGTGGAGGATGCAGGCTTTTGGAGGGAGTTTGGGTGCGGGGAGCTTGCTCTTTCCTGGGGTTGGGGTGCGGGAGAGGGTGAGGCACTTATATTGGGCAGCTCCTGAAAGCGACCCACGCACCCCTCTCGCAACGGCACCTAGGCGAGGAGCCTGGGGGGTCTCCGCGTGCAGTTGCCCGCAGGCACGCCGCCGCAGCTCCCATTGGCTGCAGTTCCTGGCCAATGGGAGCTGTGGAGTCGGCGCTTGGGGCGGGGGCAGTGCGTGGAGATACACCC